AAGAGTGCGGTCCATAATACGTCCACGCGTTCAGCAAGTGGGTTAACCCGCACAGCACGATGAAGGCGATGAACTGGACGAGAACCCATTTGAATGGCACGTTCGAGAAGCTGATGAAGTAGAGGAGCTCGAGGGGAATCGAGAAATAGGCGATGGCGATGAGGAAATCGCTTACCCTCTGGCATTCCAGAATCGTATGAACACTCAACAGCCCTTCGTCATCGCAGTTGCAGCTCACGTATTCGTTGTCACCAGAAACCAAAGCCAGTAGGGCAAACGATAGTAATCCAAGAGCCAGAGCTCTTAACGTGCTCATACCTAATCTATCACTTGCTCAATCCATCCATCTACATGAACCGAGACATAAACCCTAACGAATCCGATACCGAATAAACCTCGGCGTAGACATTGAGAACCAGAAGACCAATCAACAGACCGCCATGTTCGCAAACTGACACACCTGAGCTGATTCCAGTTGCTGGATCTCGCGGATCATTGATGTCAAGAACATGAATAACTTGACACCCACAAACCCAGAAGGAAGGAAATCAAGATCTCTGAATATCGGAACTCGTGACACGGAATCAAGCAAATCACGAAACCCCCAACCCCACAAAACTTTTTTCCTGGAAAAATAACCTGCAAAGAGAAAAAAACCCAGAAACGGAACAGAGATCTAAGCCGACGAGAAAGCACACCTGACGATTCTGGTGAGAAAATAAGAAAGACCCGTCTCGACGAAACGCGATTCGGATCACTGAAACCGATCAAGGTCAAATCTTTGAACAGAAGGCAGGAAGACGAAGAAGCTGATATAGGAAGGCAGAAACAAAGGAGGAGACAAAAGAAGACCGACTTGGGTTCCGTGTCGTTGCCGAGGAGAAATCTCCGGGAGATTTGCCTTCGCCTTGAGGATCTTTAGACTTTCGTCAGCATCGATTCAAAGTTCCTGGACATAGCTGCAGACTAAAAAGCTTAAGCTGTTTCTACAAAAGCATAATCAATCAAGTGAAATTTACCAAGATAATATATATACGCACACACATTCATATAAACTCCTAAAAAAATCAATAATAAACTAATGTTTATATTAGCATGTTGGGAGGGTAAAAGCTGGTGGGAATTGGGAGATTGTATAATTAATATCCACAGGCGAGTTAATTAATAGATATATTACAAGAAGAAATGCAGGAAAAAATAAAGATCCAAACTTTTGAGACCAGCAATCTCATGTTCAAATTTTAATAATTTACATTTTAATACCAAGATTTTATAAAATAGGGAAAATGATATCACATAACAGGAACTTTTTCCTACATTTTTTTTGCAGTTTTTTCAAACTCAAAAAACAAAATATTACCAAAATATTATAAATCTAGAAACAATAGTAACTTCAAAATTTCTATAAATAGAAATATATTATTTCAGTTTCGATTTATAAATATATTATTTCACTATCTAATTTTCGGATGGTTTATATTTCTACGATTTTATAACAATATATTACATATTTTAATTATTATTTTAGAGTGATGACCATTTTAACGCATGATTCAAACCTTAGATATATCAAGAAAACCGTCACAATTTAAACACTATACAATACATTACATCAAGAATCCAAGCAGATAAAACTAAGAAATTCAAGTATCAGTCAAATTGCAATATATTCCTATGAGAGAGCATTGTTTTCCTTAAAATAAACAAAAACAAAAGTAATGAAAAACAAAAGGGGAGAAGGAGAATAAGGAGGGGTAAAACAGAAGCAGAGTCAGCTGCAAAACCGGTATAGGGTGTGAAGTTATATCACACAAGGAAAAAAAAAAAAAGAAGAAGAAAAGGCATCAGCATCTGTTCTGTTCTCTTCTGTTTCTGTCCTGTCCTGTCTTTTCTGAAGAGAAAATCTACAGGCATGGTCAGTCCTCTTTCGTTGTGGTTCAGTTTCCATCTCATGTCTCCCTGGAACCATCTTCACTCCCTCCTAATCTGGCATTTGCTGGTAGTCTCCGTTTTCAGATGACTCATGCCCTGTCCGTCCTGCACGAGAGAGAGAGCGAGAGACTTGCGGGTTACAGCATATTTCAAAGGAGGAAACCGAAAACCCTGGAAAAACGGCAGTCTCAGCGATGTTTATTTCGGAAATAGTCGACTAAGATTGCTTTTAGATAGGACAGGACAATGGTTTAGGGTATTGACTAATAATACCCAATACTCTCAATCCTGAAATTGTTGCAAACTCTTCAAGAACAGGAAACCAGCTCCTGGCATCTAGATCTTCAATGCATCTTTACTCATAATATCGACTAAACACAAGAGATATTAAGAAAAATGAGCAGAGAAGAGGATCTCTACTTTTATAACTCCCTGTAAATATCTTATCACAGGTCATCCAAACTTACACAGACAGCCCTAAACGAGGGTCAAGCAGTCCTAAAAGGGTTTGGAACTTTGATCAAAGATCTGGTTCCAATTAAGCAAAACCAAAGACTTGTCCGAAAACAGTATCCATAAACCAAATCTCTCACTTAGGAGTTTGGTTCAGAGTTTCATCACTGGTTCAACCAGACACATGTCTACCTTACTACCAAGAAACAAGTGCTTTCATGAATATATGAAAGCCTTTGGCAAAACGTGCTCATGTGTCCAGATTCCAGATGAAACAAGTTGCGGGCTTTACCTGATAAATCATAGCCGGCACTGCTCCTACCGTCATGACTGCTGGTTCCCCACTCGGATGGCCGAGAATGTGCCATGTGCATGCCCTGGTGTGCTTGAACCATGAAATGAGCACCCATGGCGGTTTGGTGATGATGCTCATCGTTTCCCCTCACGGGATTTCGTCCCGATGGTTCCATACCAGACCGAAAGCCAAAACCAAGCATTGATGTGTTGCCAGAAGGAGAGGGCAACCTGCTTCCACTTCCAGAAGCATCGCCTTTCACACCACTGCTCGCATCCTTCTTTCTGTCAAGCTGAAATGTTCCAAGAATCACCTGTATTTTGGGAGACGAACAAGCAGCTATGTAAGAGAATCAACTGAAGTTATGAACTGCCAAGTTTAGCCTGACAAATGTTATAAACAGTCCTGAATTTCACTTCTATTTTCAAGTACATTTAAGGCAGAACTCATACAATAGGACTTGATCAGATGAGATGTTTGTTGGCAAATCTTCTTAAACCGTGAAGCTGAGTATGAGATTGTTGGAAAAGAAGGGATGTATCTATATAATATAATCTAATACATGACCAGTCACGCACACATGTCCATCCATATGCGTTGAACCTATAACGGTACAGGATTGTACCTGAACTGGGCCAGCAGCGATTAGGTGTCCCCCGACTCCTCCACCGATGATCTGACCATCTGCGCCAGATAAACAGACACTAAGACTACCACTTTTACCTCCAAGCTCTGCCCGAATACAAGATCCACACAGTGAGACAATCTCATATTGACCCTGGAAAAAAATCATGCAGCCTTAGTTTGTAACAAGAAGAAATAAATGCATAGAATACATAGTGTGCTAGACGTAAGGATTCGGAAACTAACTAGAACAAATCCTTAGAATTTCGACAATAGAGTGAACCAAGAACCAATCCTTCTAGTTCGCACAATAAGTAACAAATATTGAACTATGCTCTTGAAGTGAACTAAATAGCCTTTCCAAAATCCATGGCATTAGCTTTCTTTCTCCTTGGAGGAAAAGTAACAAAAGCAACTTTAAGAACCAATTTACAGAGAACAGATAGGAGCAAGAGAACCACCTCATATGATACAATGCCTCCAGATGTAGCTGGTTGGCGCAACGATGCATTCGAGATGGTTCCTGACGCAGAAAGAACGCATAGTTCATGCTTGCTTTGTTGGGCAAACAGCACAATTTTTTGGGCCACATCCTATCAGCATCAGCCATAAAAGAACATATAAAAGAGTTGAATACTTCTTTGTTTTGTCTTAGCATCAGCAGAACAATCATAGACAACCACTGGCAACTCCCTCACCCATATTAGATTTAAACAATTCTTGAATAGATCAAAACATGAACAAAGAATGCCTACCTCACCAGGAGCTATATTAACAATATGAGGAGTAAAGCTTTGCCCAGTTTTTCCTGCATAAACCAACCGGAGAATTTCATGGGAGCTCAGGAAATGGAGAATAGAATACATATATATATATGTAGGAGATCAATGTATCAAGAAAGAACTGAATTAAACAAAAAAAAATGGATAAACCAAAACAGTATAAATCAAACAAATCAACAGATAAATCATTGGTATGATGAGATTTTAATGAAGGATTAACTAAAGCATGGGGAATTGCAGACAGAACCACAGAATTCAAATCGATTCCGCTGCGGAGAAGAAAAACAGCATCATGGATCCTCATACCACACACATCACCTTAAACCTCACCGTGAAAAGAGATCAACTTGCTCATATATAACACCCAATCTTACAAAATTCTCATGTGATGTTGCATTTGCAACCAATAGCGCGGAGACGAAACAGAATTTGATAAATCCCACCATTAACACGCCCAACTTTCAATACATTTGCAACAATAACATCCAAATTCGACAGAAAATAGCAAACTTGGCAGCAATAACAACAAATCCACCGATAATATGATGACGCAACAAAAGGGTTTTCTCGAAACCAGCACTCACCGACAGAATCCAACAGGGATTTTCTCGAAGACCCAGAATTAGACGATGCCGTACCTCCCGCAGCCGCGGCCAACTGTTCCCTCCTATCCCTGACGAGCTGCTCGCAGAAGACGCCATTTTCTTCGCCGCTAGAGCTTGCTCCGGCGTTCCGTACTTCCTCGGCCGTCCTCTCTTCCTCTTTGTCGGCTCCATCGGCGCCACCACCGCCGAAGACGGCACCGAATGAGGGTACACGACGAGAGAAGACCCGTCGTTCGGCGGCGGCGGCGGCAAAAACCCATTGTTGGACGACGGAACCGCGGAGGCGGACGAGGCTGTGGTTGCGGCGGAGGAGGAGGCAGAGGTGGTGGTTGGGTGGTGGTGATGGAGATTGTGGTGGGGATGGAGAAAGTATGGAGAACTGAGACGCTGCTGCTGTTGGTGGTGGTGGCTTTCGTTGGGTTCCATTCCCTTTTAGAGAGAGAGGAAAACTAGAGAGAGAGAATTAGGGATTTTTTTTTCCTTTTTCCCTTTTTCTTTAGGCTTTTATTATATTATTAGATTTTCCGTTTCTTTTTCATATTTTCTTATTTCTTTAAAGCGAAGCAATCGTGTCGTCGTTTCGTCTTCTGATGCATTCTCAGCCGTTGGATCGAGAGCTTTTATTATTTTTGCAGTAATAACACGTCAGACTAATATTGCAGTTTGGACCAATTTATTAAATATATGAAATAAGGTGTGCCAATCTTTTTTCAATAACTAATACAAATTTATGAATTTTGTATCTTACGATTTCATATTTAGAATTCCTATCTATCATTCCTTATTTACAATACCTACAAGACAAAACATATGCTATTGAATTTCAAATTTTAATTTTTTAAAAGTTTTGAAATAGTTCTTATTATATCTATTTTGAATGTATTCAGATATTTTTAATTAGACACAGATAGTCGGATACTTAAGATTTTGTTTTGACAGTCAACTCTTTCACATCATATCTAGTGGGATATATACATATATTTATATATATGTAAATATGATATATGGAATGGATATAATATGACGCATGATAATTGTTATGATAGTGATGGTATCGTATGATTATGGTTCTCTTGTTTATTGTTCTTTTTTTTTGGCCTGAGATTTAAATTAAACTATATAATTACACACACTCTTTTACATGGAACAAGTGACAATCCGTACAAAACCAATGCTGACTGTCCTTTTTATAATAACTTGTCGTCAGTCGCCTTTCTTATATATATATATATATACACACACACACATATATATTGTGACATATATCCATGTGTGTGTGTGTGTATATATATTGTGTGACATATACGCATGTATTAATTAAGTACGAGTGGCCCGTGGGTATGGAGCTGGTCCGGTTCAATTGTTATCCGCCCTTGACCGAATCTCATTTGTCATTTGGATTATCACGCGAAAGATATTTAATGCGGTAACATTCCATGTGTGTAACTTTGGCTATATTTAGAATGATTATAATAAATTAGGGTATGTAGGGGCAGCTCGAATAAATTGTATCAAGATGTATGTATTGGAAAAATTTCTGAAATATGAACATTATAATATTTCGCTTTAAAAAAAAAACAAATCCAAAAACACCACCTCGACACAGTAATAGTCTCTTTGACCGTTGGTCAAGTCAAACATTTCGCACCACGCTAGCTAGCTAGCTATATTAAATCTATATACCCTATAAATAAATATTGTATTTATATAAGCGCATGCCTAGATAGAGACACCTAAATGCGAAGGCAAGTGTGTGTGTATATATATATAAAGCGCGTGTATATTAGTACGTATATATATATATACATATATATATATATATATATGTTAACATGAAGATCATTCATATACATCAAAGAAGAAAACAAAACAAGAACAAGAACAAAGAAGATGGAGAAACAGAGTCTAGAGGCTCACTCCAAGCAGAACGACGGCGACGGATCATCGCCGGACTCATCGCCGGAGAAAGATAGGGGAATATTCCACCGGCACCGGGGAATATTCCATCTCCACCATTCCAAGGACGAGAAAGAGGATGACAAGAAGAAGAAGGAACGCGTGTCCAAGAGGGAGAAGATCGTCGCCGTTGTGAAGAAAGTCGTGCACCGCCGCCACCGCCATGGAGGCGGAGGCGGCCACGCCGGGGAAGAAGGAGAGGAAGAAGGAGAAGAAGGAGAAGAGGAAGAAGAAAGTAGTGAGGATGAAGAAGAAGAAGAAGAAGAAGAAGGTGAAGGTGGAGGAATCGGAGGTCTCATTGCTATGATCGCCGAAGCGTTTCAAGAATAACAAAAAAAAAAGTCATATTATATGTCATTTATGAATATAAAATTGCAATGTTGGTAATTATTTTTTGTGTAATGTTTGTGAATTTCATTGCTAAAACAATTCCTCGTTATTATTATTATTGCAACATGCCAATTGTTACATAATTATATGTACTAAACAATTCCTACAGCATTGATGATAAATAAAATACAACATATCACATATAAAAAAAAAAGCATATCACTGAAGAAAGGCATGTTACTTATTCTCATATCTACACCAAATAGTACATTCAATGTCGGGCCAAAACTTAAAACAAGCCCATTAATTTAAGCCCAATTCAACCCGGTTTGTAACGGAAACATAAACCGGTTCTCAAACCAGTCAATAAATCAGAATCTCAAATCTTGGTTATCAAAATACCGATGGTACGCATAGAACCGAACCGACATTCCAGATTCTTATATTCAATGCATTCTTCCGACACAAGGAACGCATTGAGATACGAAGAAAGAGTCCATCGTTGCAGACAAAACTAAATAGGAAGACGAAGATTAAAAAAAAGGATTCATGTTCTTGAATTCCGTCTGATCCACTTGCTTGTTCAACAAGCAAACTAAAGCAAAAAACCCTAATCACCATCACATCCTTTTATTACCACTGCTTCTGAGACAAACACTTTGTCAGTTCCCTTCGTCCGACGATTTCAAGTAAAGGGTATCTCCTCCGTCGCCGGAACTTCCTCCCCGGCCATCAAAGCCGCCGCTTCCGATCCCAAGTTCTGGCTTCCCGCGTCCGAAATCATGGAACCCTCCGTTTCCTCCAGAGGTTCCGACTTCACCCTGCAAGATATGGAGGCCGGAGCCGCCGCCGCCGCTTCCGCTGCTCGAGCTCATCCCGAGCTGGCTGTGGTGCAACGACGTGGCGTAAGGCTGATGCTGCTGCTGGTGGCCGTACAACATGGAAGAGCGAGCCGCCATTAACGCCTGAGGTGTCGTCATCTGAGTTGCTGTCTGGTTCTGCAAGTAGTGCGAGGCTCCTGGTTGGATCATCCCGCCACCAGAGGCATACTGCTACCAAAAACATTTCAAATTTCGATATGACTGTTTATCTGATTGATTCGTCGGTGACGATTTCATATTTACCTGGCTCTGCAGGCTTGGTGGCTGAGGCTGAGAATCCGCAATTGCAGCCAAGTACATGAGGTTCCTTTGAAGCCTTGCTTGATTCCTGCAACATTATTTATATAAACCAAGAATCATCGAATCATTCGCCCATTAAAACGTTTTCTTTAGGGAGTGAAAAAGAAAACAAGGTCGTGTTCTTACTCGGCACACTCGCCGAGCTTTCCGGAATTCTGAGACTCGACAATCTTCAGAATCAACGACTTGTTCTCGTCGAGGTACTGCAGATTGAACGGACAGATTATCAATCTAACGACACGGAGATCAGAAGTTAATCCCCACTTGTTGGTTTTGCTCATGAAAAGGGTACGGGAGATTTTCTCGTATTAGATTTCAGAAACAAAAGGAGGACCACCGTGATTTAATGCTAGGACCAGTCGGCCACGGACCACATTGACTGCGTTCGAGTAAAGACTATAAGCAAGAAGCGGAACACAACACGTAAAAAAAAAAACCAATGTATGGAACCAAAGATCTATTGATGACACTCTTCCATGGACCACAATACAGGCAATGTATGTGTATATATATGCGCTAACATCATTTCGTTTTCCGATATCTTATGTTCAGACATAAAACGCATAAAGAACAGAACATGGGTTTCTCATGTTCATGAATCATTTTGACGAAGTAAATACCAAACAGATTCTCTGCTCAGTCTAATTTTGACTGAACTGAAGATGCCCTAACTAGAGGTTAAAGTGTTTCTTAAGAAACTGGACCCAAGAAGAATCTCATCCCCTTTTTTTCTGTCAGAAAGAGGTGTAAATGAGAAAGACCGAATCTGGAGAGAGATATAGCGAATCTTTGACGAATTTAACGGTACTGTGAGGAACAGTGCGAACGACCAAATGGGTAAGACCATGGGAGCTGTACCTGTACGGACATTATTAGGGTTTTTAAGACTGATAAGACCGGTGAATCTACTAGGAGATTAGAGAAAAACCCTTGATTCTAACACGTTAAGTAATCTTCGAACCGAAATTAAATACCCATGCCAAAGAAATAAGCTTTTTTGTAAGGAGATAAATGAAAGTAACAAAAATAGGTTTTTTGCTAGTAAGAATCCAAACAGCGTCTTCAAGATCATGTAATACACAACCCAAAAATAAAGTTTAAAAAATGGAAAACAAAAAAGTGGGTGAGGAGAGAATAAAGAAAGAGGAGGAGGAAGAAGAAGAAGAAACCTGTTGGATATGATCAGAGGTGACATTGCCGGGGTAGTAACCAGCCATCATGGGCTGCATCTGCATCAGGTGCTGTTGCATTTCTTCTGATAAATTTATATATAATACAACTTTTTTTTATAAATTTTTTTGATGCAACACAATGTTTCCACAGAACCCAAGAGGAAAAGGAGAGCTCAAGAACACAGACTCTCTCTCTCTCTCTCTCTCTCTCTCTCTCTCTCTCTCTCTACGTCTCTGTATAGAGGTCTGTGTATGGCTCTGTATATATAGAAACTCTTACTCTTTGTGTAAAATCGCTTTCTCTCCTCCACAAAAGTTGTTGCGTTAAAAGACTGAGAGAGACAGTGAAGCCTCTTAAATAGAGAGAGAGAGAGAGAGAGAGAGAGAACCCTTTTCTCGGGTATTGGGGTTTTGTTTGTTGGCATCTTTCTGTCTCATCCTATCTCTGTCCCTGTGAAGAAGAGGAGGTCACGTGATAGTTCATGCATTACTGCATTTACATATGTTACGTTTCCCTATTATACATACATATATATATATATATAACTATATCCATGTAAATCCATCATTTTCTTTATGGACAGCATTTGATTCTTTGGTTGAAAAGAATATGTGTGTGTGAAAACTTTTTTTATTTTATTTTTTAGTTTCTGTTTGATTTGATATATATAATAAGATTCCAGCTATATTATCTCCTCGTAATTGGATTAATTAAGTAATGCGTGTTTTATTAATATAAAAAAATGGATCCAAGATATTATTATTCCCTCTGAACATACAAACCACGGAGGCTCTTCTTTTAACACCTTATAATATATATTATGCCCAAACTTATAATAATCGTACATGGGGTTTTCAACCTAATGTTATATTAAATATATATAACTCACTGTATTTCACGTATCTAACGACTATCTGGGTACGCAAAGTATAGTTCAGTATTTCATGTCATGTCCCCCTACTTATAATAACTGGATGATGATGATGATGATGATGATGATGATGATGTGTACGTGTGTGGTGGAAAAGATTTACATGTAGGGGTTGGTCTTTTGAGACCGCTTCGGTCCAAAACCACACACTTCGTGTCAGTTTCTTACGTCACGCCCTTTATATTTTCTCGAAAACCCTATATTACGTTTTTCATACGGTAATCAGGTTTTAAAAAAAGATTAATTACTATTTATTGTTCCGGTATTTTCACCGACATTGAATTTTAAGTTATACGTCACAGAATTTAATTCAGTTTCGAAAAATATTGTAGAAATCAAATTGATAATCCTTTGCCTTATAAAGGTTTGCAATAATATCACATTTTACATGCAAATTTATAACTAGAAAACCGCTTAAAGTGCCAAACAATGTGACATCCGCGTATTGTTTTCATGTCTTTATCGAGTATTATTATTTATCAGTTATAATTAATGGCAAGCCATTCATGACTAATAAAGACAAATGTACATTTATGCTTACGTGTATTTATATTTGTTACACCAAGTTGTTAGATTCCTCTTCTGACGTAATACATGCAGATATATATTTTATTACCAGGAAACCTAACATCCTTGTGTTAAATTGGGTAAATGAATTATACTGTTTCTAATTTTTAATAAATCCTAAAAATTCAAATTTTTTACATTAATATAAGCATACAGTAAGCTGATTAATCCAAACCAATATCCCTTTTTATATCGTTGGAGTTGGATTTAGAGATAATAATTTGATTTGGATATAAATTATCAAATGAATGGAATAACATGTAATATTATCTAAAAAGAAATTAATTTTCAAAATAAAATGAGATGATGTTTTCAAAATAAATCAATTGAATTTAAATAATTCTAAAAATAAACAAAAAACGAATTAAACGAAATATAAAAAAATATTTTTAAAATATGAATTAAATCCTAATAAAATCCAAAACTATATGAATATCTTCATCCCAAATGGAATCATATATTTTTTTAATGTTAAACACTAAATAGTTTAAGATGTTTATAAATCCACCGAGAAAAAGTCCAATTGCTACCTTTTTTTAGATAGGGTAGAATTCATGTATAGAGATATCACATAAAATATCTAGTCCTCATGCGAGTTCCTTTTTTAATTGTTCGATCTATAGTGAAAGCTAATAAGTTTTAATTTATATGGGATGTTAAAATTTTAAAATGTTAATTTATATTTCAAAGAATAATTAGGGGAGATAATATTTGTAAATGAAGTATATAATGGCTTGGAAAAAATAGGAAATGGAATATCAATGATTAAGAATTGGGTCCCAAAGAGTCACATGATCGCTGAAAATAATGTCCACTCCATCAGCCAATAAAATTTAATAATGAGACTTCTATTCTAATATAATATATCCAACGAAATATATAGTATATACTATATATAATTAATAAAAAAACGCCAATAAAACAAAACTTATCCCAAGGCACAATTCCCAATTTCAAATTTATGCATTTGGACAATAAGGTGCTATACAGAGAAAGAACATTAACACGTATGTTTTCTAGATGTTAGAATCATATTGTACGATTATTTTCAGAATTTAAAATTAAACATTCTAATAACAAAACAATCATATGCGAAAAAAAATCTGATTTATTTGATGTTGATCCTAGCTAGTTTTAATTATACTGATACAAAAATATGTAGAATACTAATATTTTAATTTCACGATCGTATACAGATTTATAAATTTTTTAGCAAAAAACCCTTATTTCCATTTAAGTATCATTTGTTTTTTTCGTATTTATAATATATTATAAAAATGTCTGCAATACTGTCAGTGTTAGAATTTATTGCAAAAGGATTGTGTTGAAATTGGTAAAATGACATTTTTACCAGTATAAAAGTTTTATCACCTAAGAAAAAGGTTAAAATCATCGTGAGTAACTAGGGCCTTTTTTTTTACTAACAATATGCAACATCACACCTGTATAAACATATACACACTATGTACATACATATACATATGTGCATATATATATATATATGATTATGAACAAGAGTATGTTCATGGTAAAAAAAAGTGATGCTCCCATAGACACTAACATGATGGATGGTTAGGGTTAAGGCTTAGGGTTCCTCTCTCACGTGTACCCTTCAATATTCCCACTCACACGACCTCTCTTTTTATCTTCCATACATACATACATACACTACAAGAAAATAGTTATATAGCGACGGAAAAATCCGTCGCAAATATAAAGAAAATCCGTCGCAATTAAGAATTTACGACGGAATGCGACGGATTTATTTCCGTCGGTATAGCGCTGTCGCAAACGTATAACGGTCGTTAATTCGTCGCATTTTTGCGACGGAAAAAAATCTGCGTTTTGCGACGGGAAGTGACGGATAATTCCGTCGCAATTTGCGACGGATTTTTTTCCATCGCATTCCGTCGCAAATGTTTTAAAAAATTTAAAAAAAATATAAAAAAATTATATACTATATATACACATACATATATACATTTTCATATATACATACATTCATACACATACATTACATACATACAAATATACATACATATATATACACATATTTTCATATACAACATACACATACATTACATACATACAAATATACATATATATATACATATATTTTCATATACACAAACACACATACACATTCACACATATACACATATACACATATATACACATACATAAATATTCATACACATACACATTTCACAAACACATACACATACATATAAATACACACATATACACATATTCATATACACATACAATCACATATACATACACATACATATTCATATTCACATATATATATACACATACATATACATATAAACACACACATACACATTCACATATACATACACATTCACTTACACACATATATAAACACACACATACACATTCACACATATATATACACATTCACTTACACACACATACACATACATAAACACATACAAACACATCAAACACACACATATATATAAATATAAATACATATATATTACGTTATGGGAAAAATTTGGCGATTTTTATTTTTTTCCGAAAATCTTTGAATCTGACGAAGAAGACGACTCGTGGTTTTATATTGTGTTTTGAGACGGAATTTTCCGTCGCAATCCGTCACAAAATGAAATTTATTTACGCGCCAAAATTCAAAAAATTTCGTCGAAAACCGAAACTAAATACATTGCGACGGAATATTCTGTCGCAATCCGTCGCAATTTTTATTTTCCGTCGCAAATCATCTATTTCTTTGTTGTGACAGAATTATCCGTCGCAAACCGTAGCAAATTGCGACGGATTTTGCGACTGTTTGCGACGGATAATTTTTTTCCACGTTCTATCGTAAAATCGTCATATTTCGTCGCAATTTTCTGTGCCACGGAAATTTCTGTCGCAAATTCCGTCGCTATATGCAGGTTTTTTTGTAGTGGTACATACATACATACATAGATACATACATATATCATGTGGCATGCCCTTCTCTCTTTTTCTCTCTCTCTCTCACATACATTCATGCATATACATATAATGTGTCATGAGCATGTGGGAACCCAAATTAATTGCCCGCTAAGCAACATTCGAATTTCCTTCCACTGCATGTCAAATAGTTATTTTGCGAAGTTGCATACATATGTATACGCGTACCATATTGTATGTAATCAATGACCATGCATATTGTATGTAACCAATGACATTAATAAAAGTTGATGATGACGTATATGGTCCAACCTTTGAAATTCATTTGAATGAATGATTTTGTAAGGAAATAAGGTAGTACATGAAGAGGGACATGTGCCCGTACAAGGAGACATATATAGGTCCCTTCCCCACTATTACATGGGACCATGCCTCTCCTCTTTCACGTTCACGCCATTTATATATCTTCCCAATTATAATTTTTGTCCCATTTTTCCTCCACCTTAATTTTAGAAAAAAAAATACAGTATGTTTTGTCCTTTTGTATTTGTATATACATGCCAAAATAAATATAAAATATATGTCCATAACGTTTTTCAAATATGTATGGGGCATTTCGATACGAAATATATCCTAGAAAATTTCTCTGGAAAATGTATCCGAAAAAATTGTCCGACATACGTATATGGGATAATTCCATACATGTTTTCTGTGGAAAATTAAAAAAAATATCAGATGTACGTGTAAGAGTATACATACAATACGGATATGATATCTATTAAATAACATAAGATAACTAGTATTGACCGACTTCAAAAACAATTAAATTTGAAAGGGTAAAGAATATTAAACAAAACGAAAATGGTACAAAAATGCCAAATGCGTCTCTTGTAATGGATTTTTAATTTTTCTCTTTTTTTTTAATTATTTCCTCTTTATAAATCTTTATATTTTACTACTCTATTCAAATTAATGAAAACAAACTGATTTTCCTTTTAAAAATTTCGAAAATAAGCAATAAATAAATAATCTCTCTCGTAAGAATTCATCTAACAATTTAATTACTCATTCATACCCAAAGTATATTACACGTGCATACATGCATGGGTAGATATATATACACGTGTATGTATCTATGTATACAGGTTGATAAATATGCATAAAAAGCACGGGCGGTCAGTGAGAAGTCATAGCCTTTGGAAAGGGTGCCGATATTTCTCTCGCGAGGGTTTCTGGTCTATACAACCTTGAAAAGGGTGTCTCGAGTCTAGGACATGTGACTACGGGATTTATTCATTATATATATATATATATATATATATTTTTGTTAACCTATATATATATATATATTTGAAATAGAATTAGTGGTTAGGACCAATTAATGGCCAAACAAATTTTTTGTTTTAATTATTGATGAATATAGCACGAGAGAAATTCAATACAACAAGGTTGCCGAAGTGAAAATTAATAGCAACAATAATAGTAATAATAAATAGTATTATAAAACAGCACAATAAAACAAAAAGTAAAACAGAATATTATTATTGGGGTGTGACCAACTTTTTTCATGACATGACCGAAGGTAGAGAGAGCTCTGGGGATTGTGTAGGATAGATGATGGGGATTGTTTTATTTATTTAAATAAATAAATTATTTGTTATTTAAAAGGAAAGGAAACAATATGCGAATGTGTGGGGGTAATTATGACACCAATCACATGTGGGTGCTTATATATATATATATGTATATATATATATACATATTCCACAGGCAATGAAAGGTCACAATCAGTCATCGGGTTTCCATATTCATGAAAACCTAAGGCGTGCCCTCTCACTTCTCTCAATCCTTCCCCCTCACCTTTCTAACCTCGTGCCGTTTTCTTTGTCCTTTTCATCATCATCATCATCATCATCATCATCATCATCATCATCATCATCATCATCATCATCATCATCATCATCATCATCATCATCATCATCATCATCATAATAATAATAATATTGATTCATTAACTTAGTAATATTTAAAATAAAAATATTTTTATATCATTGATGATGACAAGATTACATCCTAATATATAACAAAATACAATAAAATATTCTATATATAATATTTTAGGATAAATTATAACTATATTAATAATAATATTTTAGAAATAATATTTTTATATACCCTTCAAGATAAATTATCTACGATGAATTCAATCTTGTTACGTAAAAATTGAAAATTAAAATTGTGATCGTATTAAATGAAACATCTTTCACGTGATGTTGTGGCTTGAACTTGAGTCGATATTTCACGTTTGATAATGTTTGAAAAATTTGAGAGTTGCAGTCTCAGAAGCTAATATAACACGAAAGTGTGACTGGTATGCGTGAATTGAGTTGTATGACACTGAAGTCGGCAACGCAAAAAAATTACGGTGTATATAACGATTAGACATGAAAAAAATGAAAAATAAAGGCGAAAGAATAGTTTGCTATGCGTTTTAAATATAATATTATGATGCGGTGAAAATAAATGGTTCTATTTGTCACGCATGGATTTACTTAGTTTACATTAGTGTGCTTGATTTATTTTTTAATGAGAAACTTTTGGTTTAAAAAATATATGTATTTTATTTTTTAGTTCATTTAAAATGTATTTAAATATGAATATATATTATTTAATTTGGTTGAATTCGTTTTTTATAAACAAAGCAAAATAATACGGAAAACACTCTTTTACATTAATATTCAGACAAGGAAGATGAAAATAATAATTTATAGAAGATCCAAGAGCACAAGAACCTCCATCTCATCCAGTGGGTGTTGTTTTTATTTTAATCATGTTGAACAAAAAAGAAAAAAAAAAGATAGGCTTGTAGGGATTGGGCTATGTCATTTTGGGCCTAACTTGTAAGGACAATTCATAAACTGGCCCACTTTACTTTGGAAACCACAGAAAGAGGCACATATTTTTTATTTTCTTAAAAACATGCACGGAATTTTTTTAATGATCCTATTAGCCCAAATTTTCAGATTTCACTTAATACAGATTTTGAAGATAAGAGATAGATGGATTAATATTTAATATCAATCAGACTGTACTTCATCTGCTTCCCGGCTTTATTCATACATTTAATATTCTCTGATTTTTTTTTTATGCCATTTACGTTTTATATATAAATATTTATTTCCTGAGACAAATAAAATCATATTTTATTTCAACTTCTCCAATATCTATTTGGGCCTTCTCCAATATCTATTAGGGAGATGTGGCAATTTCGTAAATTATAGGAAAAACAAGGTCAGATTTAAAAGGAGAGAATAAAAAACTGGTGAATATGACATAAATACCCTTCTCTCCGTATGGGAGCGTGTAATTTCCCATCTCCACCCTCCTGAAAACCTAATCTCTCCCTCTTCTGCCCCTTCTGTAATTCCCAATCCCACCCTTCACTCTTCGCTTCTTCTCCCGTTCCTTTTTGCCCCTCGAATCCTGCCTTATTCCCGATTTCTCCTTACCCGCCAATTTCCCAACGGCTCCTTTCCAAATTCTCCCCCTTTCGAAGATTCCTGACGAAACCCTAGTTATCTGGTTCGAGATCCCCGATTTTGCTTCGTGGATTCACCTTTTCTGTTCTTGTGGTTGATGCCCAGATCCGTTTCTCGGCGTTTTCTGGTTCTTCGAGTGGAATTCTGGAGTTAGGGTTTGGAGTTGGGTAAATTCTCTTCCTTTTTCCTTTAGATTCCTGGCGGTCGGATTCGTTTCTGCTTACTTTTTAACATTCGGTTTTAGAAAGTTTACTTTCTGGGATAATTTTTACTTTTCCGGTGGAGTTCATTTGATTTCACCGATTGGGTCTTCTTCTTCTTCAATATCTCTAGATAGCTGGTGTAAAGCCTTTGAATATTACCCGATTTGATGTGGTCTTCATGGAATTTGCTTTTTTCTGTCAAGCTGGTTTGTTGATGACTTGACAGTAACCACTTTGTCCTGTCCGAATCTTTACTTCTCTTGATTCGAGGCTTGCTATTGTTGGATTGTACGCCGTTGGTTTGTGATTTCATGTACTTACTTATCTGTGCTCTTGAGGTTTTGTTTTCTCACATTTCATGTGCTCTGTTTCTTTAGTTGTATTACCATAATTAACTGTTTTCCTGAAGAGAGTGGATCGGCTTCGTACTGGAAATTAATACTTCAGTGAAGCTGAGAATGTAGAATGTGAAATCATTATGACCGCTGATGTCCTGTTTCTGTATGTTTCCACTGTTCCAAGCTTCTCGTACTTCTTTCTTAAATTTTGGTCGGTAATTTTGTTAGTGCTGAAAGTTGGCTTCTTTTCTTTTTTTTTTCCCCAGAAAATGTCTCTGATCTCTTATTTCACTGTTTGGATCGTCGAATTGTCGTTTGGAAGGCAAGTTAAGGTCATATGATTTGTGAGAGGGAGGACTGTCATCCTTTTTCTTCTACTCTTTCTGTTAAACTACACCAATCTGCTCCACTACGGACCGTGCTTTTGTATTCATAAGATGGATGATCTATCCTCGTCTATTATTCAGCTGTTTGTTTAGGTTGTTTCGATTTATATTATTGGTATTGTATTGCAATTTTTATGTTCTCATCGTAATATGTCGTTCTGTTTTGCAGGGATACGTCTATAGAGTTAGGTAATTAGGTTGTTCAGGAGAGTTGAGTTCTTGCTGTAATTGGTGTAATCCGTTAGCCTCAGCAATGGCAAATCGTGATTTAATCCTTGGACAAAATCGTAGTATAGGTATTGGGCAGGGGCAACCATTGATGCTTGGCCACAACCATAATCTGGGGCTTGGGCAGGGACACAATATGGATTTAGGACAGGCTCATGAACATGAGTTAGGTTTAGGACACCCACATGATCATGAGCTAGGGTTAGGACATAGCCAAGATCATGATGGAGAGGGTGATCATCACAGATACGGGCATGAGACCGACATCACGGTGGATCAAAAGCCAGAACATGGTGATCACGAGCTGGTTCTTTCTACGCAGAACCACGATTTTGCTTTGTCAGATAACCATCAGCTGGTAGTTGGGGACAGTCACGAACTGGATGACAACATGGAACTAGCCGTCGACCAAAATCAAGAAATGGGAATTGATCATGATGGAGATATGGATTCTCATCTTGTTGTTAGTGGCCAAGTCCTACAAACCCGAGCTCTTTCTGTAGACTCAACTTACCAGCTTTCAGTTGGGCAAGAGTTTTCTGATGTGAAGAGTTGTCGTAGGGCATTGAGGGATATGGCCATTGCTCTTCATTTTGAGATGCAGACCATAAAATCGGACAAAACCCGTTTCACAGCTAAGTGTGCAAGTGAGGGATGTCCATGGAGAATCCACGCAGCAAAGCTCCCAGGTGTCCCTACATTCACCATTAGGACGATCCATGAGTCCCATACGTGTGGAGGGATCAGTCATCTCGGTCACCAGCAAGCCTCGGTTCAATGGGTTGCCAGCTCGGTGGAACAACGTCTTCGAGAGAATCCGAATTACAAACCAAAGGAGATTCTTGAAGAGATTCACCGGGTTCACGGGATTACATTATCATACAAACAAGCTTGGCGAGGAAAGGAAAGAATCATGGCTGCCATGCGTGGATCCTTTGAAGAAGGATATAGACTGCTTCCTCAGTACTGTGAGCAGGTTAAGAGGACGAATCCCGGAAGCATTGCTTCAGTCTATGGAAACCCGGTTGACAATTGCTTCCAACGTCTCTTCATATCCTTCCAAGCATCGATCTATGGTTTTCTAAATGCTTGCCGACCGCTTCTTGGACTAGACAGGACTTATCTGAAGAGCAAGTACCTCGGTACATTGCTTCTTGCCACTGGCTTTGATGGGGATGGTGCTCTGTTTCCGTTGGCATTTGGAGTTGTAGACGAAGAGAATGACGAGAACTGGATGTGGTTTCTGTGTGAACTTCATAACCTTCTCGAAACCAACACTGAAAACATGCCGAGGCTCACGATTTTATCAGACAGACAGAAGGGTATTGTTGAGGGCGTGGAACAGAACTTCCCGACCGCATTTCACGGGTTTTGCATGCGTCACCTGAGCGAAAGCTTTCGAAAAGAGTTCAACAACACGATGTTAGTCAATCTACTCTGGGAGGCAGCTCAGGCTCTAACCGTGATTGAATTCGAGGGCAAGATTCTCGAGATTGAAGAGATTTCACAAGATGCAGCCTACTGGATCAGGCGAATCCCTCCTCGTTTATGGGCCACGGCTTACTTCGAGGGCCAGCGTTTCGGCCATTTAACTGCAAACATCATCGAATCATTGAATTCATGGATTGCCGAAGCATCTGGACTTCCGATTATTCAGATGATGGAATGCATTAGGAGACAACTAATGACTTGGTTCAACGAGCGACGTGAAATCAGTATGCAGTGGACCTCGATACTCGTACCGTCTGCAGAAAGGCGAGTTGCCGAGGCTCTTGACCTTGCACGGACGTACCAGGTTCTTCGTGCAAATGAAGCCGAGTTCGAGGTCATATCCCATGAAGGAAACAACATCGTAGACATCAGGAACAGGTGCTGTCTCTGTCGGGGATGGCAGTTGTACGGTTTACCATGCGCACACGCAGTAGCGGCACTTCTCTCTTGCAGACAGAACGTTCACAGGTTCACCGAGAGCTGTTTCACCGTGGCAACGTACAGGAAGACCTACTCTCAGACGATCCATCCGATTCCAGACAAAACCCTGTGGAGGGAGTTTACCGATGGAGATCAGAAAGCCGCCGAGGTTGTCATAAACCCACCAAAGTCATTGAGGCCACCTGGTCGACCAAGGAAAAGGCGGGTTCGAGCCGAAGACAGGGGGAGAGTAAAGCGGATCGTTCACTGTAGCCGCTGCAACCAGACCGGACATTTCAGAACAACCTGTGCCGCACCCATTTGATTAAACCGCTTCTACCTTTTGCCGGCAAGTCAGTCTTAGTTTCGAACAACTTTTCAATCTGTTACATTTGGTTTGTGTCTGCATTCTGAAGAACATGGTTTTGATGTGTTCTTCTGCAGGAAAAAGGACAACACTCTCTCGTTCGTCGTTGATGGCAGGAACAATAATACCAGTAACTGTCTGGTAATGGAAAATAGATTGAAGCTCTGAACCTGCATTCCTAACGACGTTGAAGCAGAATCACGTTCCAGATTCATATGATGCCAACTCTGTTTATTTTCACATATTTCATTTCTACGGAGGTAAATCTATGATGCCATCAAAATGTCAGTTTGTTTAGGTTCATCACAAAAGCGCTATCATAAGATTCACAAGCAGTGTATTTTCTGTATCCCCCCCCCCCCTTCTGAATTCTATGCTGCCTCTTCGTTTCAGTATGTTCAAAGAATCCTGAATTCAACAGTTGTGTTATTGAATCTCGAAGATTGAAAAAAAAAACTGAAAACAATGAAAAAAAACACATAACTTGTGGCACAAGAAACAAGTGGAAGCAAAGTCACCGACGAAAACCAAGGATCCTGGGATTAACTATAAACTCCAAATCTTTTAGTACAATCTTAAAAAAATTGGTTCAAACCACATTTAGGTAAGGAAGGAAGCAGAGGCAAAAATAAACCTAACACGACAAACCACAGTGGCGACATTACAACGATTACTGACACTAGGGTTCTTCTCAACTCTCTTTTGTCCTTTTACTGAAAAAAAAAAAGCTCAAACATGGCCGGCGCCGTAGCCAGCCATTGATCAGTACCCGTAGCCCGAGGAGCCATAATCTGCTGCATAGCCCCCAGGTGGGTTCGTGGCCGATGATGTGTAAACCGAGCTGTGGGTTCCATAGGGATTATAGGTTTGCTCCGTGGACACCGTCGGCTGTGCTTGTGCCGCCGCCCCAGCTGCTTCCGCCATGAAATTCTGCCATTAACAGTAGGTGGAATTAAATCACATATCAACATTATATGCTTAAGATCTGTGAAAAAAATGTGCATGGTTCAGAGATATGGAATGTGTGAATGAATTAGGTAGTAGTGGTTAGTACCTGGATAAGCTGCTGAGCAGTTTGGACTTGAGAGGCAGTTCCACTTATCTCGACGGTCATTTCACCGGGAACTCCCCTGCTTTCCTGAATGGTGACCGTTGCTCCACTTGCACGTCGAATGTAGCTTATGCTTGAACCTGATGTCCCGATAACAGCATCCGCATAAGAGAGGGGAATCTGCATTTGCTGCGTCACCTGCTGCAAAAAGGCCGAATCCACCAGTCAGATTCTCCGGAGGGCAAGATATCAAACAATTCCATCTAATTATATTCTAGATTTGAGCATCCAGACAATATAATAACAAAAACCCAGCTTCCTTCCATCCTCCATGAGAGTAAAATGCTGTTAAGTACAGGGAAGTGGAAGAGGCAACAGCTCACCTGGGTGACCATCGAGGGTGCTGCTGCTGATGCATGCACATTCATTGGAGGTTCCCTTCCATACGCAGATATACCTTGATGAGGCTGTTTCTCCATAGGACGAGGGCGCATGTCGGGAGGAGGGTAGTAATTATCAACGTGCCGAGGCGGTGGCATATATGGAGGAGGGTTGTGACCATAACCCGGACCTCCACCAGAACTCGGAGGAGGGCCTTGAGGTGGACCCCAAGGCTGATGTGGAGGCATATGATCCATCGTCCGTGTTGGCTTTTGCATCTGCTTTGGAAGAGAGAAAATATCAACAAGAGTTCATAGACATCATTCATAAAGATAAAAGGGCGATCAGAACAATAGGAGATGACCTGATTTTCAAACAATGGAATAATACTACGATCCACCAAAAACTTTCTAAGCTGCGATGCAATCAGCTCCAGAGCTTTATGCACGCTCAATGGTTCACCCACGACTTCAACAACCCTATCGTCTTGAAGTGCAAAGACAGGCAACTCCTCTACAACAATCCAGTTAACAATGCTTAGTAAGAACTATAGGCATCTGAATGAAGGAAAAAAAGCACGGTGAAACTATTTGGCCATTTAAAGCTTAAGAGAAAAATATTTGAACATAAATCAAGAATACAAGTCAAAACCACAAAGCAAGCATCAATTTTGGTTCTAGAAAAATTCAGAATAAAAAAATTGTTCAAGATCAGAGGTGTTAACATTAAGAAACAACTCTGATGCAGTAATGAATTCACGAAAAAAGGAATCACTGCTGATAACAACAATTAGTTTTAAGACGAGTTTTTCATCACTCCATGTTCAACATAGAAATAGACCGGTGTGCAGTTACACATCAAGAAATAGACCACAGATAGCAGAAATCAGAAAATAATGCAAGTATGAATGACTTCGAAAGGAGGAAAAATGAGCTCATTTAGCATGTTGAGAAGAAGACCTGAACCAAGAACTCTGACAACACAACCAGATGCTTCTTGAATAGCTTTTACTGTTGCTCCTTGTTTCCCTATCAAGCTTCCAGCCTGAGATGCCGGGACTAGTAGTCTTGTTGAGACCTTAGAAGGCGGTGGTGCTTGAGAAAGATCACCATCCAAACCATCAACAATCCTTTTGTGGACTCTCAGAAGGCCATCCATCACAGGTGGTAACAGCGAATCAGGTTCTTCTTTAGCAGAGACCATAACCTGCAGAAAAACACATACAAGTAGACATGATGACTCAATGAAATAAAAATGCTTGGGAATTTGATATCTTAATCTTCGCACTTATCATCAGTTATGACCGGATCTTTCTCAACAACATCAGGCAAATCTCTCAAGGCATGACAATCTTACATGCACTTTAACCAGTTAGATGTTTATTTCTTTGTTGTGATCTTAATCAGAAGCTTTTGCTACAAAGACTAGGTTATTTACTCTGTTGAAGATTGCCAAAGTAGTCATTTGCAATCTTCAAGACATAACAGAATCTCTTTTAAAGAAATCTTAAGTTTATTCTCTACTTGGTGAATGGTTTTTTAACTTTTAACTGTTGCTTCATGTTACGTTACACCCAGTTTAGCAGGTTCCAGTATGCTGCAGAAAGTCTGTGGCAAGACATCAATCACCCGGGGACCGAAGTTACCAGAAAGCATGTGGTGCTTCATCAAAGTGATGTTTGTGCAAGAAGGATCTTGCCTATTGAGATTAACATATCAGCACTATGTAATGCTCAAGGCTGATTCCTTCCATCTGGCTTCGGTTCTTCATATTTGGGACCTTACCAATGATGATTCATTGCCATATAACTTGCAAGATGAAACCTGCACATATTCATGGTCGTCACAGCAATAAAGGGAACTGTACTCACATCTTATCAATTTCCTTGATTATCTTCATCCTTTCACTTGACGAAACTGATAAACCTGCCCGGTCACCATACTTGACAGTGTCTTAATTAAGTTACAAGATATTTTAAAATGATCAGTAGTTCTCCAATTTTTTGTAAAATAAAGAATCTTAACAGTTCTGGACATTTTCTCTTGAAAATTTTACACAAACTGTTGCACAATTAAGGGTATTCCATAATTTGAATTTTTTTTACTATAGAAGCTAGACCTAAAGGATTTAGGTTAGTTACCTACAAGTGCTAATATGTATTTCACTATATCACCTATCCTATCGAGAGGTTTTTAGTTTTGTTTTCAAAACCATTCTTTGAATCATAGCTGCAGCTCACATGCCATATACCACATGTGCACCCAGGACCAAACAAGCAGAAAATTGTAAAGGTGATCCACAGGAAAAAAGCATATAATATCCTGTTAAAATATTTGCGCCATAAGTTAGCAGTGCCTGTACCAAGAATTGTCTAGATATATTCTTTAAAGCAAATATGCCCATTAATAGCAAGCAATGAAATATATATAAGCTAAAATTTAAGTGAATAAGATTCCCATCTTCTAACTAACACATAATGTAATGCCAGAGAAAAGATCAAAGACTTACAGCTCTTTCTGTTGTGCCAGGAGGACCATCAAGAATCTTAATCCGCGCCCTTGTCTCCTCAACTATTTTCTTAATGACATCTCCTTTACGCCCAATGATGCTACCCACTTTCTGGGCAGGAACCAGCATGCGGAACACACTCTCTCCAGGCCATCCAGGCCATCTCTTCTCCTCACCTCCAACAGCAGTCCCATCTTCGCATTCTGAATTCTGTTGGGGCTCAACATGCTCAGGAATGATGGGGATGGTGCTCTGTTTCCGTTGGCATTTGGAGTTGTAGACGAAGAGAATGACGAGAACTGGATGTGGTTTCTGTGTGAACTTCATAACCTTCTCGAAACCAACACTGAAAACATGCCGGGGCTCACAG